GAGGGATTTTGTTTATTGATATTTGTTAGAGAAACAAGAAATTCTTGCAAATCAGTTAACTGCCCTAATGATATTTGCAATAGTGGGAGCTGGGCCGGAAGTAAGTTTGATTTTCGTATGAGTGGGTTTGCAATTTGAATTTTTTTTTTTGCCCTACATAATGTTGCTGTTCTGACGAGATGAATGAAATTTTTAGATTTTCTCCTCCAGCTCGATATTATCGAAAAAGGAAAGTGATGAAAAGCATGGTGGTGATTCGGATGAACACTCTCCAGAAGAATTCGTGCCAAATGTGGATTTTAAACCGGTGATCCCACTGCCCTCGCTTGTTGAAGTGAAGACTGGTGAGGAAGGCGAGCAGGTCAGCAGCATCTTCACATTTCTTTCTTTGAAATTTACTTTGGCTAGCTGCATCGTACTCGGATCTTTCCTCAGTGCTTTCTAATCACTCCGTATTTTGCTTTCAGACGATGTTCAAAGCCCGATCCAAGCTTTATCGTTATGTTGCTCAAACGGGGGAGTACAAGGAACGTGGCATTGGTGATATCAAGGTTTCTTATTTTGCAGGGTATTTGTCTCAGTCGATATTTTTTTACGTCATAAATCGAAGAGGAGTCTGGTTTCTTCGCGGTATTTAATTTTTTTCGATACCTTTTGGATTTGGAGTCTTTTCATTGAAAATTTCGCTTTTGTTTTGTGATTTACATTTATCCGGTGACATAATTTTGTTTGCATTGCAGGTGCTTTTTAATCCGGAAACAAAACGATATCGTGTTGTGATGCGTCGAGACCAAGTATTCAAAGTATGTGCCAATGCACCTATCATTGGTGGCATGAAAATCAGTAAGAAACCAAATACGGATAACGCATGCATGTGGATGTGCAAGGTAATGCTCTGTTTCCATCGCTGAGTAAACCTACCTGGCGGCTTTGAATGTAACAACCTCTCAGTACGTTCGGTTTTATTGCTTTATCTCTTTCACTTTTGTTTGATCTGCAACTCACCGTTTTATACTTCCTCTGCACAAGTATGTAAGATCTGGCACCTTCTACACACCAGCTGTAGGAAATGCGCTGGAGAAATGCCAATCATAGAGGATTTTCCAGAGATATCTATGTGTTTGCAAGGGCATGCTGGGAAGGCTGCCAACACTCTAATGTAAAACATGCTTGAATTTCGAAACTCATGTAGGGCCTATAGAACGGAGATTAGGACGCGTATTTCACGTGGAATGTCTTTTACTTGTACTTCCTTTCTTATTTTTTGCATTATATGATATGCGATTAAGTTGATCACAGATGGGACATTTTCGTTGGGAATCCATTTCTTATCATTTTTGCTGATTGAAAGTAATGTCTGTACAGGACTATTCTGAAGAAAAAGAAGGCGTGAACGAATGCTTTGTTGCGAAATTCAAAGATTCCAAACTTGCTGATGAATTTATCGATGCATTCTCTCGAGCAGTGCGACAGGAGTGTCCTGCGATGGAGTACAAGAATACCGATACAAACAGTTAGTTTTATTAGCTTTACACCGTCGTTGTAAAACTAAAATTGTTTTAAAATAATTTACATCGACCTTATTCCGGTC